TGATGTTGTTGGTGTTGATGTTGTTGGTGTTGATGTTGATGGTGTTGATGTTGATGTTGTTGGTATTATTAGTGTTGGTGTTCTTGGTGTTGTTCTTGGTGTTGTTCTTGGTGTTGTTGTTCTTGTTGTTGTTCTTGGTGTTGTTCCTAGTATTGTTTGTGTTGCTGTTAATGTTGGTGTTGTTGTTATTATTGGTGTTGTTGACGTTGCTATTGTTATTGTTGTTACTGTTGGTGTTACTATTGTTGGTGTTATTATTGTTGGTGTTGTTCTTAATGTTATCGCTGGTGTTGTTGCCATAACAGTATCAGAAAGATGGGAAGCAAAAATATTCCAGATGAATGATATTTTTGTAGTTTCATTGATAAATGTAATATTTGAAGTATTAGCGGTAGCTGAGGAAGCAGCAATTGTCATTTGATTCTGAAATATTTTTAAATGCCGTTAAATTATTTATCATGCTTTTCAAATTTTTAAAGTTGAATTCATTTTCCAAAATGTAAAATAATTCAGTGAAAGAAGATATTATAAAGTTTTAATTACATCATCAAATTATCAAATGAAACCAAAGATTAAACTCAGTAATTCCCCTTTTCTTTTCTCTTCCTCACTGAAGATTTATTTATTATTTACAGCTCACCGTAACATAGAAATTGGGTGTAGAATTGATGATCGAATTTGATAAGATTGAACTATGTTCGGTAGTTTGTTCAAATCCTGGCTTCTTTATTCTTACATATTTCCCAAGCTTTTTATTAAATTTGTAGCGATGTCGATGTTTCAGTGATGTTGTAGCATGCGCAGTTGCATCTGATATCATTATTAATGATGATAATTTATATTATATGAAATTTTGATAGAATTTGCGACTTTAAAAATAAAACAGCACTTTAGAAATGAATTTTAGGAGTTCATCGAGTAATGGAGTAGTAGTAAGTTGGGATTCTCATTTTAGCAAATTTGCATTCATTTGATTCTCATTTCTTGGATTCTTATTCACTTTCTGAATTTGCTATGATAATCTGAATAGATAATGTGAAATAATTTGAAGTCCTAATTAAAAATTTGATTCATTTTAATCCCATTCTTATTATCAATGAAAATATCGTAAACAACAAAAGCAGAAAAAGACGAATATCGATGAAATGAAATGGATCGCAAAGAAAGGCAATTCATAGGATGTACAATTAATTATACCATAATACTAATTTGGACAATTCCCAAAAATTTCATTTTCGGAAAGTTAAAACATTTGTTCCTTCTAAATAAAAAAAATTTAACAAAATGTTTAATTTTTTAAAGCCTAAAAACAGACCGTATATTCTTCCTGATCGAATGCTATTAGCATACTTTTGGGTTGTCGTTGCGATTGTTACCAATTTAAATTTATTCTATATAAAATTAACATTTATGATAATATCATACAGTAAGAAATTTCCTCCAAATATTTAAATGTTACATTCGAGAAGAAAATGTTACATTCGAGAAGAAAAATTCTAATAATTAATTGCAAGAAACATTTATTTGCTATTTTCAAAAAAATTATCAAAATATAGGCAGTGCGATTTGATTATCCAATCATTTTGTTGCAAATTTTCTGGCACAATCAGCGATCATTTTTGATCATCAATTTTAATTCTTTCAAATTTTTTTCGGAAAAAAAGGAGGAAAAGTAGCTAAGTTAGAGAATCGAGAAAGATATAATATTCGACTAGACGGCATTCGGTCATAATTTCATACTTATTTACCTATACTCGCTTACTTCTTTATAACCAAATTAACAATAATTAATAGTTCAAACCTGATTAAATATGAATGCTTTGATGATGTTGTAGACGATAAACAAATTGGATAATATAATGATCGTCAACAATCCAATAATAATCGAAAGAACGTACAATTTCATTCCTTCACAATATGTCCATCCATCTAATTTATTTTGCTGCAAACTTTATTTTACCAATTGCTATTATTTATTTTAAAGTAATAAGATATTTTATTTGAATCCTTAACTCGTAATTGTAAAAATTTGAAATTTGATTCTATTATTACACTATTATTCAACATTTTCACCCATTATATTAAGCCCATTTAAAATATTTTTCGCCTCGTAAGCTTTTTTATGAAGAAATTTTGAAATAAATTAAAAAAAAGATTGCTTGCTTGAAATGATTAGTCATATTTTACATTTTTCCAATCGCATTTTTTTTCAAATTAATGTTCAAATTTTAATCCTTTTACAATACTTTTTCTTTCAATACCAATCTCAAATAATTATAAACACTTTTTTTGGCTATATGTTTCAAATGTTTCAACTGTTTTGACCTATTTCAATGTTAAACGACTATTCAATATACAATTATTTTTTAGGAATTAATTAATTCAACCCTTTACATTGTTTTTTTTTGAGAATTTTGTGATATTCCTGAGATTATATGTTGACCTTTTATTCATTTTTTGAAAAGGAAGTACATAATTTAATTCTAAACGATTTTAATATTCCAATTTTTGGTCATTTTTTTCCTTTTCATTAATGAAACAAATTTGAATCTACTCACAATTCAAATAGAGAAATCACACACAGAGTGATTAATGATTGAGGGATGATAAATGGCTTCAATCAGACTGATATGTTGCAAATTGCTTACTAATGAGAATTAGTTATCATTTGATAGAAAATGCTTTAATGCTAAACTTTATTTAACCTTTTACATATTATACTCCATAGTTTCAGATGCAGTAATTAAGAGTACGAAATTTGGATCAAATTTTTGGAATACATAAACAGAGCTAAAGCATTACGGTTTCTAAAACTGTCGAAGGTATTCAAATTTTAATGATTTTATTGATTCATTTATTTATTGATTTTCTCCCTAATCACTTTACAATATTTCGACTCCCAAAAATCACAATTAAAAAATGTTTGAAAATTTTGAAAATATCAAAAGTTTTTGAGACTTGTTCATATATGTTAATAGCATTTTGTTGGAAATTTCTTAAATTTCGATCGCCATTTTTTGCAGTAGCATTTATCATCACTTTTCAATTCTCGACAAATTCCAACACAGCTCACTCCGTTTGATCATTATTACTTATTCAATAATGAATAATTAATTCTCGATATGATGAAATGTAAACAAACTGTAAGTATTCTTCAAATTTGTTTGATTCTGCAAAATTTCTTTTTGTTCAAACCTATCTGTTTTCCATATCTTAAATTCCACTGATACTTAAAATGATACTTTTTATTAAATGCAAAATGCGATGTGCTACAGTGCTGCTTTATTGGATTAAAGATATCTCTTTTAGCTTAAGATTTAAATTTCAAAAATGAAAATAGAAAAAGATCAAAAAGATGAAAGATAAAAAGCATTTTGCTTTCTGAATGTTGTCATTGAATCGGAAGCCGATGAAATTTGATCATATGCAAAAAATATATGATAGTTGAACTTTCAAAATTCTTTAATTTCATAGTAAAAAACAAAAAAAAAGAATTACTTACGGGAGTGTTATGTTGAAATGT